GGGGCCCTGTCACAGCCCCCGGAGTGCTCAGCGAGGCCCAGGCCCTGCCGGGGGCGGCCCGGGCTGGGGGGCAGCGCTGGCAGCTCCAGCAGCACCTGGGCTCTGCCTCGCTGGGGGTCCCGGTGCTGCCCCGCGGCCTCCTGAGCCCCCTCCCCGGCCTGGTGCTGCGCTGGGGTCGGGCCACGGGGGAGATGGGGCCTGGGGGAGACGGGCTGTGCGGCCACGTGTGCCCGTGGGTGCGCCCACGTGTGTGTGTCTGTGCCCACATGTGTGCCCATGTCTGTGTCCATATCTGTGCCCATGTGGGGTCCACATGTGTGTCTGTGCCCATGTGTGTGCCCACATCTGTGTCCTCGTCTGTGTCCACGTCTGCATCTGTGTGTGTCTGTGTCTGTGCCCCCACGTGTGCCCCCGCATGTGTGCTGATATGCCAGTGTGCACTGCAGGTGTGTGAATGCTGCTGCAGGTGTGTGAGCACCAGCCTGCACACGCGTGGGGCACACATGGGCAGTGTGTGTGCACAACCCTGACACTTGCACATGCGTGTGGATGATGGTGCAGCTGGGTGGGTCTCCACGTGCCGGGCACGTGAGCGGGGGGTGTGCAGGCACGAGGTGGCCCAGGGCTGCCATGGAGCCCCCGGGGTGAGTGACTGGGGGGGTTGGGGGTGTCCGTGTGTGAATGGGCAGTGGGTGAGTGAGTGTGAACCGGGGAGTTGTGTGGAGAAATGCAGCTGGTGACACACCGTGTGTGTCCGGAGTGCAGGGGGGATGGAACTGGGCACAGGGAAGGGGAACAGAGCTGGGGTACAGGGGGTGAAGCTGGATCCCTGGGGGGGACAGAATCACAGAATCCTCTCGGTTGGAAAGGACCTTGAAGCTCCTCCAGCCCAACCATGAAGCTCCTCTTCTCCAGACTGACCCCCCCCAGTTCCCCCAGCCGCTCCCCAGCAGACCTGTGCTCCAGACCCTGCCCCAGCTCCGTTGCCCTTCTCTGGCCATGCTCGAGTCACTCAATGGCTTTTTTGGGGTGAGGGGCCCAGAACTGAACCCCCTCAGCGAGGGGCGGCCTCCCCAGTGCCGAGCCCAGGGCTCAGATCCCTCCCCAGTCCCTGCTGGCCACGCCAGGGCTGACACCAGCCAGGATGCCGTTGCCCTCCTTGGCCCCCTGGGCACACTCTGGCTCCTGTTCAGCCGGTTGTCAATGAACACTGCCAGGTCCTTCAGCTGCTCCCCATCAGACCTCTCTGTCAGATCCTGCTCCCTTTAAGGCCATCCCACAAGTGGGGTGCAGCCCTGTACACCCCCCCCCGTGTGTCCCCTGCCCTGCTCAAGCCCTGGGGTGCTGCTGGGGAGGGGCATGAAGCCCTGACAGCTCCCTCCCACCCCCAGCAGCCAGTCTGTGATGCTGCGGGGCTCTGCCAGGGCTCTCTGCTGGGGTGCTGTGGGGCAGAGCTGGGCCCGGGGGCAAGGAGGCGGAGGACTCCCAGAACACCCTCACCTCTGGCATCACCCACTGCTGCTGGCAGTGGGAGGGGGATCCCCCCCTACCCCCAGGGACAGCACCGAGCTGGGGAATCTGGGGTGGGGAAGGGATGACACAGGGAACAGGAAGGAGAAAATATTGTGGCAATGAACTAGTGGTGCCTCAATTTCCCCACCTTGGGGGAAAGCCCCAGGGCTTCTCCACCAGGTCAGGATGGGCTCAAGTTCAAGGGCTTCTGGCTGGGAGGACTCTGCTGCAGGGTGCAGGTCCTACTGTGCCCCTCCCCAGCTCCCCCCCCCCAGTTTACACTGCAGGAGGTGGCCTGGTAGTACCCCATTTGTCCCACCCCCCCACATACCTGGGACCTGCACCTGCTGGGGCCCTTCCTCTGGCAGGGAAAGGAGCAGGGTAAGAGCTGGGGACCCCCACCTGTGCCCCCTCTCACCCCCTTCCTGTCTCCTTCCCACTTGTCACCCACAGCCAGAGCCCCTGGGTGCTGGGGGGGGGCAGTTCAGGGTCTGTCCCCACACTCTTTCTGCTCCTGCCCCCCACCTTGACACCTGGGACATCAGCACCTGGGCCCACCCCCCACACACATATCTCCACCTACTGGTCCTGCCTCTGGCCTGTTCTGTGGAAGGGGGGGGCAGGGGGGGAGCTGGTTGGTGTATCTGGACTGGCAAGGTGCTGCTGGGTGCTGATCACCCCAGACCCCCAAATCCTGCCTGGGGTTGGGGAGCTCACAGCCTCCCTCCACTTGTCCCAAGGAAAAAGGCAGGCATGTGTCCTCAGGGAAGGGGCAACATGCCCCCCTCCCAAAGTCCAAAGTGCCCCCAAAGGGGGTCACATCTTTATTTATTTAAAAAATAGTCTGCCCCTGCCTTGCCTGGCACCGGGCTCCTCTCTGTCTGCCACCCTCCGTGGTGGTGGTGGGGCTGGAGCTGGGTGGGTGCCTGACCCCAGCCAGCCCCTGGGCGCTTCTCTTTGCCCCCTGGGCACTATTGGGGTTCCTCTTGGTGCTGCTGCTCAGGGTGGGGAGTCATGGGGGAAGCAAGATGATGCCCCACAGCCTGTGTGGGCTCCCCTGGAACTGTGGGAGGGGTTGGAAGGCACTTGGTGATAGAGCACACACACACCCCCCACCCACCCCCGGTTGTTCCCTGTGAGATGGAGGGAGGGCTCAGAGCAGCCCCCGAGACACCCCCCGGGCCAAGGCTGGTGCTGGCTGGGTCCTTCCTGCCCTCACGTAGTCTTGTACCTGGGGGAGAAGACAGGGTGAGGGGTTCCATGCTGCGCTGGGGACAGAGGGGTCCCCAGCCCCTACCACTCACTGGTGCTGCAGGTTGAGGTCTGGCCAAGCCCCCACGGCCGCCAGCTGCTGCTCCAGCTCCACAATGCGCAGACCAATGTACCCCGAGGACAGCAGCAGGGCCACCATCCTGGGGACAGGCTGGTGTCAGGCACAGGGGTCACAGCCGGGCGGGGGCAGCGCTGGGACCAGGTTCCCCCACGCTCACCCTGAGCCAGGTCAGGTGCCAAAAGAGGGGGGGGGAACCCTGGGCTGCCAGTGCCACACTGGAGAGGTGCCTGTGCTGGGGTGCAAGCAGGGATGGGGATGGGGGGGGGTGTCCCGAAGCCCTGAGGTGCGCGAGCGGGTCCTGGGGACTCACAGCAGCAGGTAGATGAGGATGACGGTGTTGAGGGGGTGCAGCTGTGCGGTGGTCTGAGCCCGTAGCGCAGTGTGGGGTCCCCCTGCCAGGACGAAGAAGTGTCAGTGCTGCCGGGAGCCCCAGCCTGGCTCGGTGCCAGAGAACAGCCCCGGGGTCACACCCCAGCAGCATCCCCCTCCCCAGGGCCCCCTGACCCACCCCAGAGCCTGTGTGGGCCCCCGCTCACCGCTGCTCAGAACCACTGCTGCCGCCTCTTCATCTTCCTCCTCCGCTTGCCCTGGCGCCAGGCTTGGCCCATCTGTGCGCAACAGGGAAGGATTTGATCAGTGCCCAAGGACCAGGGAGGGGACTGGGGGGTCCTGGGGACTCAGCGGGGCACACTGGGCCCCAAGGGGCTGCCCCTGTGCTCCCCAGTGCTGCGGGAGATGCTGCTTAGGTGGCAAAGGGCTGCACGGCCCCTCCTGGCACACGCGTGCTGGGGAGGGGGAGCAGAGCCCAGAGGTGTCAGTGGGGCAGGAACGCTGACACACGTGCTTGCACAAGCAGGGCTGTGAGTGTGTGAGGGGGCGCGTGCTGCAGCACGGCTACTCACCTGGCAGCTCCTGCAGGCTGTCGGGATCCAGGGTGCTCTGCTCCAGGTCTGACTGGCTTGAGGTCTGAAAGGGGACAAGCCCTGGTCATCTTGCATGTCCCCAAGGCACCTGCCCCACAGCTATGGGGACACAGGTGGCACCCAACAGTCCTCCTGCCAGCCCCAAGGAGGGAGCCCCGAGGCTCCTGGAGTATGTGCTGCCCTGGGCTGGAGCTTTTCAAGTCCACGTATCCCCCCAAAAGCCTTCTCAGGGAGTGGGCACCCATGCAGGGTGGGCTGCTGCCACCACTCCCATCCCCAGCCCAGCCCAGGGCCCCGGGGCCGCACCTCCCGCTGCGAGTCCTCCTGCCAACCATTTCCCAGCTTACCAGAGGCTTCCCGAGGATTTCCTCATTGCTCAGAGAGGCTGAAGGGCTCCAGCTGTTGTCCTGGACAAGGAGAGATGAAGGGTGGTGCCAGGGGTACAGAACCCCTGCGTGCCTGGCCCCAGCCTGGCCCAGCACATACCTGCAGGTGTCCGCAGACCGACTTCAGGAGCTGGTATGTGGCCTCCCGCCGGCGCAGTGACACGAAGAGAAACTGCCAGGGAGCAGGAAAAGAGTTTGTGGCAGAGCTGCTCCCTTGGTGATGGCCCAGAGCCCATTAACTTCTGGGACCAGGACACCCCACATATCCCCGGGCTGAGCTGCCCCCCCAGCACCATCCCTGTTCCCACTCTCACAGAATCACAGAAAACTCTTGGTTGGAAAAGCCCTTTAAGATCCTCCAGCCCAACCATGACCCCCACCCTGACCCTTCCCAACTCCCCCAGACCCCTCAGCGCTGGCTCAGCCCGACTCTTCAACCCC